TGCCCAGAACTAATGGGCACCTCCAGGTTAGGGTGAGCGATGTTGCAGGTATACTGATGTTTCTACACAATTCCAAGAATGCTCCCACACCTGGGGGCATGGTTGGCATCAAAGTAGTCAACACAGCATGCAACCTGGCAAGTCCTGGCTATCTACTTGCTAAAGAAATCCGAACAGATTGGGATAAAGGAGGACGTCAGGTTCACCCTGCACCAGATTGACCAGTGGAGGGAGCCAAAGGGACTGGGTGCTGTGCTTGCAGAATTTGTCTACAGGGTTAAGGCCGGGCTGCAGGGTTTGGTTTTATGTACGGTAGACCGGAATGGCAGGGAAACATTAGTGGAGTGCCCACTAAGTTACGGAGCTGGGCTTCGCAAGATGTTCATAGATAACAAAAACTAAAGCAAGATTGGGAAAAGCGAACAGGAGGTACAGGAGGAAATGAGGAAGGCATTCATGGAAATAGGGCTGGGAAAGGTGGCAAAATGAGATCCAAAAGGGAGACTGCAGGAGGCATATGTGCTTGCTAAGGATAAGGATCTGGGAAAACGTAGACCTGTGACGCCCAACCTCACGCCCAGCGCGACTTCCTGATCGGAGTGGGATAGGGGCCCAGACGTGCGAAAAAAGGGGGTGTGCCAAGGATTTTAGGAAAGTGGGGGTGGAGTCCCAGGACAGAACTGAAATCTCCTGTGGCAAGCTTCGGGGGGAATAGTGCAAGAGGGCAAGTGCGGGCCGTGCGCGGCGTTTCTGGTTCTGTGAACAAATAGACCGCCTCTCAGACTAAGCGCGAAGAAATGGAAACCGTAGATGTCGTGCTGCGCAAGGCAGATGTCATGCGCAGTGTATCCCAGCGATAAGAATCTGACATAATCACGTCGTTAACAGATCTAGACGCTCTTGTATTTTCGAACAGAGTCCCCTGTCGTCGATCTCAGGCATGTTCCGTATGGCTTAGGCCCGAGAGATGGGAATTACCATCTCCTCTGTCTTCGCCTTTGCGGTCGGTTGCGGACCTGATGGACAGGGTGCACGCTATGGGTATCGCGCTGTCTGAGCAACTGCTGTCGCCGATCGCTACAAACTTCGGAATCAGACGACGAGGGTCTCAGCTCGAGGTTGCATGCCCGTCGTTCAGGCTCCGTTCGGGTTCAGCGAATAAACCCCGAGGCTCGATACTTTCTGTCTTGCTGGCATCAGAACAAGGGGTTCGAGGCCAATAGGGAGCGATGGCGTGCCACGGGATGACGGTGAGGTAATGGAAGGGCAGCACCACTCTGTACGGTGGGCGGTGAGTTATTAGGACGACGACCCCTGGCTCTGAGAAGACGTGGATCGTGTGGGACTCGGGAAATTCGGTTGTGTGAGGAACGGCGTCCAATGCCCTTCCTGTATCCCAGTCTCACACGTGTTCGTCTCCTCGTTGGCAGGGGAATCTTGGAGGATCGGGGCGGGGCTGAGCGAGGAAGTGTGCATTCTTTAGTTCCCAATATTTCCGATATTCGGGGTCCCGCAAACTTTCTCGGTAGGTAATGCGAATCATCCTGTTATTCCAGCGAAACCGCCGTCATGGCCCACGCGTAAGTCCTGCAGACACGCGTGTAGGCACCGTCCCCTTTCGGTCGGGCTTACACGTGCGTGCACAGGATCTGTTCTTGGCTATATGAGGGGTTGGTTCCAGGTGGGCAGGAGTGGGCGCAAGCGATGGTCGACCAGAAGATGCGATATGGGTTAGCTTAATTCAAATTTTGTCACTTTCTTACCCATCATCACTGCCTTCCTTCTTCGTAGGGCGCAAGTCCCTCCCGAATTGTCAAGTTCGAACAACCAATCACGGATCTGTACAATCGCGACCTCTGTATACACCTATCTGTTCTACCATTATGCATTCATCAAAACAACGAAATTCCCCTCGGACTCATGCATGTTTAGCGACGGTGAGGCTTAGATCGAAAGGAAAGACGGCATGCATTCAAACAGAAACCACCGATCTTGCAAGAAGTTGAAAAAGTGTAATCGCGTCGTAGACAGAAAGCGAGAAACTTCGAAGAAAGTACAAGCATTCATCGGACTGTCAACCATGCAGGATTGATAGAGTGGAAACCAAATAATGACGCACACCAAAATGCAAAAATAATTCGCAAAGAAAAAAAAATCCGAAGTCTTTATTGTCGCAGGTTTATTGAATGCGCGTTCCGCATTCAGACTTTGAACGCGTTGAACGTGCGTTCAATGAATGCAGGTGAACGCTCTGAACGCGAACGCGCAGAGCGTCACCTGCGCAGGGAAGGTCCGTTGGGGTCGCTGTGTCGGGGTGGCGGGTCCCTGTGACCCTCCCAAGCGAGGGTAGGGTGCGCCCCATAGGTGCTGCAAAAAAAAAAAAGCAAAAAAGAAAAAAAATTGAGGGCCGCTCGAACGGCCCTGCGGGCTGCAGCACTTCGGTTACAAAAGCGTGCGTGGGGGATTTGGGGTAGGTGGGCCGATGGGGTGCGGGCGTCCGGGCGGAGCGGTTTGGGGGGTGGTGTATCGTTTTCTGTTTTTTGTTTTTTTTTTTAACATTAGGGGGAGCGGCCAATGGGGTGTGGAGGCGACGGGGTAGGGGGGATGGAGGGCGTGGGGTGGGGTGGTGGCGTTGTGGTGTAGGCGGGCCGACGTGTGGGTGCCGGGGCGGAGCGGTTGCGGGCGTGGTTGGCACCCGTGGTTGGGGCCTTGGGGGGGGTTGTCGATGGATAGCAGTGGGCAGTGTGGGGCTGGGGCGGACCAAGTTGCTGGCGGGTCAGCAGGGGCGAGGGGKGGGCGGCCGGGGCATGGCGGCCTTAATTTTTTTTTTGGCAGATATCGACGAATGTCGCCCACCACCCCGTAGCCCCCAGCTCGCGCGCGCCCGAACGGGGCCCGCGCTCAATTTTTTCGCGCCACGTGGCACGTGGCGCGTTTGAACGCGATTGAACATGGCCCTGACACGTTTGAACGCTCGCGTTTGCACGCAAATGTGCGTTCAGCGCGTTCAAACGGTTACATAGTTCGAAGTTGCCGCAACAAAATTGGTCAAGGCGGAAATCCAAAATTTATACAGGAAGGTTGGACGAAAAAGAAACAAAAGGAAAAAACTCCATCCCGATCCGTCCCCTCTCCCTCTCTCTTTTTTTGTTGCGGGCAGTCCGCCGCCTCGCATCAACACCACGATAGCGGCAGTCCGTCGCCACGTATCAACACCGAGTTGTCACCCCGCTTGGTCCAAGCATGCAAGCCAGATTCGCTCGTGCGCCACAGTCCGTCACGGCCCCGCACGTCAACCCCACATACCCTATACCAGCCCATCGGATCGCCCAACTCTAACTCTCACTCACCTTCCAAGCTTGCTCGTTAGCCGACCCTCACTGATCGCGCTAACCTCGAAATTCTTAGAGAGTGAACTAATTACGCTTATGAAATTTATAGCATGCATATTTGCGCGAAGGATACGTGATTAGCCCAGGTGATGAGAAAGAGAAGACAGGAAACGCCTACGTCTACACGTCCAGACCGCGGCGTGGGGGACGAAGCCACTCTCCGCATATCGATCCGGGAATGCAAACGTGGGAACCACTTAGAATAAAGGAAGAGAGTGTCCATGCGAAGCCGAGGCAGGAAAGAACGAAACACAAAGGCCATCAAGAACAAGAAGATTACAGTTAAGATTGCGGCCGCCAAAAACTACAGTTATACACAGGATTAAGGCGCGGGTGGAAATCAGAGCCCAGACCCTGTCGAGGCACGGTGCGTGCGAGCAAGAAGCCTCGTGCAGCCAAATTGCAAGGTGCCTAAATTCCTCGTCTAAATCCTTATTGCAAAAGAAAATTCCGAAAGAAAAACAATTTCGAGAGCCTGCGGGGTCTCGACATTAGTTTGAATTTAAAAAACGAAGATTCCTGCGCGCTGATTGCGCCAAAATTCCTAGTGCTCTCAGCAGAACAAGAAAGAAGCTATGGCAACCGCTATTTCTTGTGGTTGCGAGGGCATCCATGCAACTTGCTCAACCGATCCCTGCTCACACCCATCACCCATCAAAGCCCTCTCGTTTCCCCACAGCAGTCTCTCGCAGGAAGTCGCGCGGTTATAGAAACTAGTTCGTCACATATATGACGCCCAGGGGGTTCCACTTTTGAGCAAGATCCCACTTGCTCTCTCATCAGGCGTCGATCCACGATCTGATGGTCGAAGCAGAGCTTACACGTGCCACACCGTAGGATTTGAGTTTGGAAGTCATCCAACGTGGCAATTGTGTGCTCAATCGAGAATGGTGTCGGGGAAGGGTAGTCTGATTACGGACGGGGGAGGGGACAAGTGTACGTGGGGAAGGGGAGGCATGAAGCTATAGATCTCCCTATCGTCAGAAGGGAGCGGGATGTAGTAGATGGAGCGGTGGATACGAGGAAAGCAAGGTTGTCGTCGTTGGTGGGGGAGGGAAGCAAGGTAGTCGGGGTAAAGGGTGGCGATGGTGCGACGAATGGCTGCGTGAAAATTGTCATAATCCTCGCACGCAGGGATCGTGCCAGAGATGATGCAATAAACCTCCATATGATTGAATTCTTGTAAATCGACGATAAAGAGTCGGACATGGAGGGGAAAGGAAGTGACGAGTGAACCGGTAGTAGTGTGAGGGAAGATGGTGATCAGGAATCGAGTGGCAAAGCGATGATAGAAGAGGGGAAGAGGAAACGGGTGCCACCTATTAGGGAACGGGGGTCAGCCTATAAGCTGCTGGACGGTGAGGAAGTCATGGGGACGACGGGATAATGACCGGGGACGAAGCCCGAGCGCTCGCATCTCGACGTAGGCGAAGGGCGGCACAGGAGGATGGGGAGGATTGAGAGGGGGATCCACTTCTTCGGCGGCGGCTCCATCTCTCTCGTCTTCTTCCCGCGGAGGCTCCGTATTGAGTGCATGATTTCCTTGCAGCAGCTGCGGTAGCTGTCCTGAGTCATCGACCGAACGTTTGCCTTCCGCTTTTTCCCGTCGCTTCGGGTTCTCAGATTCCTGCTCCTCCCTCGGCAGCTCGGCTGCTTCACTTGAATCAGTCGACGTGGCTTCCTCCTCCGAGTCGTCCTCCTATTCCTCGTTGTCTTCCCCCGATCCAACCGCTCCCAACACCTCGTCGTCGTACTCTCGGTAGTCAGGATCACCGTTCCGCTCCTCCTCTTCCTCCTCCTCTTCGGATTCTTCTTCCTCCTCCTCCCGTACCTCCTCGCTTGTTTGTCCTTTAGGGATGCGTCGAATGAGCGGGTCCCACGTGGACATATCAGTGATGTCCACTGTTAGAAACACACCCCTCGAAGACAAATAGTACCTCCCCTCGTCTAGCTTCGTACACGTGGACCTAAGGAGGTGCGGCTCCAAGGAGCGAGTAAGCGTCTCCGTTTCTAGCATTTCATCGCAGCGCGACAGGATTTCCAGCGGCAGATCGTCCAGCACTTGGACCAGGAATACCAGCAACTCGTCCTTGATGGCGCTCAAATTGTTGTCGTGCACCTCCTCAAAGATAATTCCCATAAAATCTCCCTCCGTAACTGTTCTCCACGCTTGAACGAGCAGTAGTTGTACCTCATCATCTGGGACCTCGCTTTCCATGGTCCGATCTGCAGGCTTGGCCCAATGGAACGCGACGTCGAGAAAGCAAAAGCTAAGCACCACGTAACCTTGCCACTTCCAGTGCCGCCACCACCGGCCCCACGCCGGGCCCACGGCAGCGCGCTCAAGATCGGCACATGCAGGTGCTTGATCGTGAAGGATAAAGACGTGTCCTCACCAGACTGCCAGAATACGGGGACATCCGAAGGGAGGGTGAAGGTGGAGAGGCGATGACGGTTCATCGAGGCAGGGCGAGAGGAAGGAGCTCAGGAAGGTCGACCTCCGACGCAGTGAGAGACACCCAAAGTTGAAGTTCGATATAGTTGGTCGTTACGACCCGATCGCACGGCCGAGCCAACAATTGCACCTACGCCCTCGTGATATCTGTCGCCCAGGCTCTCAACTGCCGAAAGATCCCAGTATGTCACGCCGGATGCAGAGAAGAGAGGTCGCCGGTGATGACGACAATGACTGACATGTGGCTCTCTCCCGGGGCAGATAGTGGCAAAAAGGCCGACACTTTGGACAACACACGTGTCTCTCCAGCTGTTGTGAATCGAAATTCGGTTGCCGCGTGAGTGGCCGCTGTGCTGAAGAAGGCAGCAAATCGGAGTAGATCGGGACTCATCCGGGGTCGGCGGGGTCGCCGCACTTGCCGGATCGCCAAAAATATGCAACCACTGGGTTGCATCAAACGCTTACTGATGACAGGGTCGTTCAAAAAGTTCATGGCAATGGCTAGGGGGATGAAGGCTGAGAAGTATAGGAAATCAAGATAGTCGAGGTGGCCGTCTTCTTCCTCGGGATCGAGGGACGACGTAGACGAGGGAGAAGAGAGGGAAGAAGGAAGGGGACGAAGGTAGGACACGTGGCAAATGATCGGACGAGCTGATCGGCTTCCCGACACCTCGGGCGCAAGCCTCACCATGTTCGCCCTGCTTGGACCAAGTTCGACTACGCGAAATCGCCCGAAGAATCATGGCACTAGCTTACCTTGACGAGCACATTTCCTCACCTGCACTATGTCCCCTAATTTATACTGGGGCCGGGGACTCGCGTTCCCATTTCAGGCCTCATAGCTTCGGACCTGTCGGCCATGGGCCATTTCTGTCAGACGCTGTCTCTTTCGGGCCAACCGGGGGAGGGCCCTTTCCATCAAATCCAAATGACGTTGGGCCTTGTCCTTAATCGTTGCTCTGGTGGCCCTTCGGGGAAGGGTCGTTTCATCATTTAGGCTCGGTAGGGTTACGCACGGTAGGCTATTGGTCCGTAACTGGAACGGTGTCAGGCCCACGGATTCGTGGGGTGTCCCCCGATGAATCGCAAGGATATGATCCACGATATCTGGCCATGGCCTCTCTGGCCGCGATATTGCGTCGTAATGCAGTCTTAATTACCCAGTTTGCATTTTCTACGAGCCCGTTCGATTGTGACATATGGGGAGAAGTATTGCGAATAGAGACACCGTGTAGGACCTGGTTCCCCAAAACATCCCCTCTGAATTCCGCCCCATTATCCGTTAAGATTTCTTCCGTATCCTGGTGTATGCCGAGGAAACGGTTGACGTATCGCGTGACTTCCGCTGCCTGTCTTGTCTTACAAGGATACGCCTCGATCCAATTTGAAAAATGATCAACAATAACCAAAAGGATTGAATATTCGCAGCTATTCGGTCCAGGGGGCATGACAATATCCGTTGTATCCATGCTAACCCGTTGAAACGGCCGTTGAACTTCAGTGGGCACTATCGACCTTGGTGGCTGAATTGGCGCCTTGTCAGCGGCGCATACCTGACAATTTCGGACGATAAATTTAACATCGTCGCGAATGTTCAACCAATACGACTCGTTCTTATCGATTGCGGCTTCCGTGATTCTAACAACAAAATGGGTGGCGGTTTCCTCATGTGCTGACTTAACCCAACCATACCTCATGAACGGATGCGGGACAGGCATCCAAATTCCGCTATCATCCGTTTTTCGTTTTTCTAACCGTCCTTTGTTCCATCGATAATCCCGAGCCCGTTCATTGGCCCGCGTCCGATCCTCCTTTGTGAAGTCCGGGAGGGGGTTCCCGACTACGGTGGCTATTAAAACGACATTTGTCCACACTTCGGCCCTTCTACACCTACGAGTCTTTTCTAAACCCTCTGACGTGGCTTCCAAGAAGTGAGCCTCCGTAGGAATTTTGTCGGATCGACACAAGGGACATAACCAAGCCTTGTCCGCGTTCCGATACTGAATGCAGGCACCGTGGGCCCTAGAAACACAATGCTGACAATCTACCCACTCGACATATCCTTCCCCGCTATGACGCATAGGGACCGAATAAACCCTCGAAATTACTTCGCAAAAATAGCAAAATTTATCGGGCAGGGAGAGAAAAGATGAAGACGAAGGGGGAGAAAGAGGGCCTTCGGAATTACCTTCGTGCCCCAACGCCATTGCAACCACCAATCACTTCTTAGTAGGCCGAGAAAGGATGGTCACCTGCCCATACGAGGGCTCGCCGTTCAGCTCTGGCTCTTTCCACGGCGTAACCTCATCACCCTTGGCTACTTTGTTCGGTCCGTGCAATCGTGTCAGCCCGTCAACGTTGCCGTGCTTCTCTGTCTTCCGGTGGACGATATCAAAATCGTATTCTTGCAGTCGCACAGCCCAACGCCGAATCATGCGAGTGTAGTTGGTAAGCTTTTTGAGAGCCAGCAAGGGTTCTTGGTCCGTGACGAGAAGGAATTTTTGTCCATATAGATATGGATGGAAATGCTAGATTCCCCATACGACAGCGTAGCATTCACCTTGTGGAGCCGAACCGTTTCTCCTCTCATCTGGCACCGTTCGCGAGGTGTATTCGATGACGTGTTCTCGGTCGTCTTTCCCCTTTTGAGCTAAAATAGCGGAGATCGCTTCAGGCTGCTAGTCCGTAATGAGTATGAACTGCATTTCCGGATCGGGCCGAATTAAGATGGGGGTCGTAGCAGAAGCCTCCTTCAGGATGACAAGGGTCTGCTGGCACTTCGCGTCCCAGTTCAGTGGCTAGTCCTTCTGCAAAAGATTCGTCAGGGGTTGTGCGATAGCAGCAAAACCCTTGATAAATCGATGGTAGTATGAGACCAGTCCCAGAAAGGCCCGAACTCACGTCAACGTGGTACATGTGGGGGCTTCGCGGACGGCCACAACTTTCCTCGAATCCGGTCGTAAGCATTCCCGCGTCACCACGTACCCCAAAAACGAGATTTCCGAAAGGAAAAATTCGCTCTTCTCCAATGCGATCTTAAAACCAGCGTCCTTCAACACTCCGAGTGTCCATTCAATACGTTGAGCATGGTCCTGGAACGATTCTGAGTAACCGAGGATATCGTCCATGTACACAATGACGCAGAAGTTGATCATGCCCTGTGCCAGCCTCGTCTTGTTCACGAAATTCTGAAATGTGACATTCATCGCTCTTTGAAACGTGGTGGGTACATTGCAAATTCCCATTGGGCAACGAATCCACTGCCTGGTACCCTCAAATAACACAAAGGCCGTCTTTGGCCGATCCTCCTCCTTCACCAGAATGTGATGAAAACCATGACGAATATCGAACTTGCTGAAATAATTAGCACAGCCAATCGCATCCAGCAAGTCATCAATCCGGGGAAGGGGATACACATCCTTGACCGTGATATCATTCAATTTTCGATAATCGATGCAAATGCGAATCGACCCGTTCTTCTTTGAAACTAACACTACCGAAAACGACCAGGGTCCAGTTGCGGGCTTCGATCCACCCTTTAGTCTCAAACTCCCGAATTCTCTCTAACGCGATCTTCCGTTTTGTTAGCGAGTACCGATATGGTTTGCAATGGATCGGCGAATGAATTCCGGTCTGAATTTCATGCTAGATTACTACAAACAACCCGATGTCCATATTTGTCACACTAATCGCCCCTTGATATTCGGTGAGTATATCGGCAATTAGTCGATGGATCTCATTTGGTACATACTGTGGTACGTGCGACTCGTACGGGTGCCCATGTATGGTAACTGCCACGCACTTCGTGTTGGCCCGGTTACTGTTTTCCTTTAGGGGAGCAGAAATGAAGGAGTTATCCGATCGCCAGGAAAATACACTAGCAATCATTTGTGCATCTTCTTCTCGGATGGCCACGTGCTCCTCAGGGGTCACGCTGTCACTGCTTTCCGGCCAATATGCCGACCTTTTAGGAATTTTAATTCCGATTTTGTACGTTGTAGGATCATCACGCTCCAGGGGTTCCGAAGCTTCGCTTTCAGCCCCTAAACATAGCAATCTCACCTCCTTTCCCGGAGTCGGTAAGGAACGAGGCAACCCCGTAATATCGCAAAACGCCTTCGTTTCTCGATATCTCGAGAGAAGTGGGGTGGCTGCTTCATATAGGGTTCGAGGAGGTTCCAAGGACTCAATCATCCAGGATACGTGTACAAGTGGTTCTCCAAGGATTAGTGCTCGAGTCTGTTGCAAGTTCTTTTCGGTGAGGACAAACGTCTTAGTTTTTTTCTGTCGAATGGGGTAGTGGATCGAGCAATGCACCATATCTTGGATTACAGGGTCCGAGTCATCGTCGCTATTAGAGGAGTCATTGGTTGGTTCATATTTCTTTCCTCTCGCCTCTTTCTCAGGGTTCGGCTCTTTCCACGTGATCACACGGAGAGAGCTCCTGATTTCGGGCGGGCGTCTTGGTGGTAACGTGGTTCAGAGAGTTAACCTCATTGGAACAATGTATGGCTTCCTGCCTGTATTCTGGGTAACAACAAACCGTCTTTCAAAATCCTGGTTAGCTCGTAACGTCGTGAGGGTTGGTAATCCTAAGAGGACATCGTAGGTGTTTACATCTAATACTACTACATCCCCCAAAGCATGAACCCTCCCTAGCCTGAAAGCCACATTCGTCATCTTCCCAACTGCTTTGATCTTTTCTTCGTCCGTTAAGACAAAATGATCGTCTTCCGCTAACGTAACTAGATTTTTCTTTCTCCCAGCCCGTTCCACGACCCTTAATGAGATA